ATGTACCGTGTTTCTATCGAGTTATAGAAACACGAGTGGAAGTTTTGGAGAACGAGAAATGCTGTGGGAATATGAGGCGCAGGGGAGTGTTTCCACAGCTTTTTCGAGTTCTCCCAAACTTTCACGAGTGTTTCTATAACTCGATAGAAACACGGAGAACATGTTTTCTATTTCTTTTAGAAAACACCGCGACGAAAAAAAGGAAAATAACTTGTTAACTTTGATTATCAAAATGTAAATTCTCTTTGCTCGCGCCATCACTACGTCAACAGCTCGTGCTGGTTCTGTGTTTCTATCGAGTTATAGAAACACGATTTTTACCCAATCAGCGCGCGTATTTTCTTATTACTGTTTTCTAAAATGCGGTAACGTTGTCTCAAAATCGAATCTAGCTTATAGAAATAGAAAAAGACAAAATAAACAGAATGAACTTTGAAAACATTTTCTCCGTGTTTCGATCGAGTTATAGACTGTAGGAAACTTTAAAGTCTGGGGTGAACTCGAAAATCGAAAATTGCTGTGCAAATGCAAGTATCTGCTTCATGCTCGCGTTTCCATAGCATTACTAGCCTGCGAGCGGGCTCACGTTGGAGCACAAGCGCGCGCGGCGCGAAATTGACCCGCGAAGCCGCGAGACGAGAAATTCTTTTTTTTCTTGGCGCCTCTTCACCAGACTCCTTCCCGCCGGATCGCTTTGCTCTTCGCCACACGCGCGCGACTCAAAGATGAATCTGCTCGCAGGCTATAGTGTTACTCGTTGTCCCCATCCTCGGAGACCCAGGGGCAGTTAGTTGGGGTGGGAATAAATTAAGCCCAGCAAAAGTTGAGGCGACGAAAGTTTAAATGTCCCTTGGTCTTCGAGGATGCGTTGTCCCAAATTTTCACTCGTGCTAGGAAACGCTTTGTTAGACAGGACGTGTTAACGCCATTAATTAAAAACGGTACTTTTTGTTAAGCCAACTAAACGAATTATTTTCCTTTCTTTTTCTCGATGGATTTTTTTCTAAAAGATATAGAAATCATTTTCTTTGTGTTTCTGTCGAGTTATAGACACTGTTGCAAACGTACGTAACTGATGATAAAGGTGAAACTTTAACCTAAAAGGTATGTATTTGTTTCAGTTATTAAGGAGCTGCAACAAACTGCGCGGGTCTAAAAAGAGCACATTTGGCTTAAAAGGATGGAAAGTACATCATATATGCCACGACAAAGTGCAATAACCCGTTCAAGGTTTGTTGCTTTGCCATGAATACCAGTTACCCCAAAGAGTTCATCACATTATCAGCTGGTGTCGACAAGAACTACGC